ATAGATAGATAGATAGATAGATAGATAGATAGATAGATAGATAGATAGATAGATAGATAGATAGATAGATAGATAGATAGATAGATAGATAGATAATAGATAGATAGATAGATAGATAGATAGATAGATAGATAGATAGATGATAGATAGATAGATAGATAGATAGATAGATAGATAATAGATAGATAGATGATAGATAGATAGATAGATAGATAGATAGATAGATAGATAGATAGATAGATAGATAGATAGATAGATAGATAGATAGATAGATAGATAGATAGACAGACAGACAGACAGACAGACAGACAGACAGACAGACAGACAGACAGAGGAGCTCCCTCCCACCCTATCAGTCCACTTAAGATTCTTACAGTGCACATCTGATCTGGTGATGCAAATATTAGGCTTGTGTATCTGGGCGCTAGTAAACGTTTTCAAACCAAAGTCCTGTAAAATGAGCAGAAATTCATTATGGAATATTACAGAAAGGACGGAAAAGAACCCCCCACACACACACTCTCTCTCTCTCCCTCCTCCCCCTCCCCGCCCCTTCGATCCATCCATCTGTCCATCTATTATCCATCTATTATCCACCCAGAGTGCTGTGTTAAACTAGTTAAAAAATAAAGATGGATGTGACAATGCACCCTTTCCATTTGGGGGTGGGGGGTGGGGTTGTGTCAAAAACACAACAAAACACCCTTTTTATGACCTTCTAATCCCTTAATTCAGGGTAGAGTCGGGGTGAGTGGATGGAGTTGAGCATTTACGGGCCCTTCCTGACACCACACAGATATTTTTTTTGCAGCAGATATTTTTTTTTCTCTTTGCACTCTAGGAGAGAAACATCTGCCTACTATCTAGGATTGAACTCTCAACCTTCTGAGTGGGAGGAGAATATTTTCACCACCAGGCCACCAATGTGTAAAACTACAATGTGTTATGAAAATTATGATACCAAGACTGGGATTAAGCCCACCTAAACTAGGGGTAGGCATCCTTGGCTCTTTTATGACACGTGGACTTCAACTCCCAGAATTCCTGAGCCAGCCATCCTGAGGGGAAAGGGAGAGGTTTCCAAGCTGAGCCATGTTGGCTGGCTCAGGAATTCTGAGAGCTGAAGTCCACGGCTCATAAAAGAGCCAAGGTTGCCTACCCCTGATCTAAGGGCTAGTCTAAGTGCTATTTATATAGCCTAGGGGTAGGCATCCTTGGCTCTTTTATGACTCGTGGACTTCAACTCCCAGAATTCCTGAGCCAGCCATGCTGAGGGGAAAGGGAGAGGTTTCCAAGCTGAGCCATGTTGGCTGGCTCAGGAATTCTGGGAGTTGAAGTCCACGAGTCATAAAAGAGCCAAGGTTGCCTACCCCTGATCTAAGGGCTATTCTAAATGCTATTTATATAGCCTAGGGGTAGGCAACCTTGGCTCTTTTATGACTCGTGGACTTCAACTCTCAGAATTCCTGAGCCAGCCATGCTGAGGGGAAAGGGAGAAGTTTCCAAGCTGAGCCATGTTGGCTCAGGAACTCTGGGAGTTGAAGTCCACGAGTCATAAAAGAGCCAAGGTGGCCTACCCCGGGTATAGGGTCTCTCCCGCTTGAACAGGGGGTTGGACTAGAAGACCTCCAAGGTCCTTTCCAACTCTATTATTCTATATCTATGTCCATGCCAAATGGCATGCCACATCAGAGACCAGGTATGGAATCACCTCAGAATATTTAACCGGTGTATTTTTCTAAAATAAAAATAAAAAAAATCCTCTATTTTCACTCATTTTTATCTTTGTTTATTAAGTACATTTTTTTTCTAAAAAAAAATTCCTTGCTCTTGGGATGGGATGGTTCTGTCTAAAACAGCGGTTCTCAACCTGTGGGTCGCGACCCCATTTGGGGTCGATCGACCATTTCACGGGGGTTGCCAAGCAAGGCTGTCCGCCATTTTTTTTCCCTTTTCTGGCGGGTGCCTTACCTCCCTTGGGCTGGGCCAGCTGGTGGTCGGCCTGCTCCGTCTCTGCCGCTTGCAAGCTACGCCTCGGCCGGCGCAGGGGGCGGAACCGCGCATGTGCGGCGCTCCCGGGCAGGGAAAGTCCTCGACTTACGACCGGTTGGGTAGTCCTCGACTTACGACCGGTTTAGTCCTCGACTTACGACCGGTTTAGTCCTCGACTTACAACCGGTTTAGTCCTCGACTTACAACCGGTTGGGGGTCGCGGCATTAAAAAGGTTGAGAACCACTGGTCTAAAATGACTTCCTTTCCCTTTCTAACCAGTCTTAGAGTGAAATTCCAATTTCTGCCAAGAGTTTGGGGACTTGGGGGGTGGTGGTGGTGGTGGCTTACCTTGAGGATTGTATAGGCGTCTCCTTCACCATAAGAATAGGTGTCGGTGATGTAGCGAATTCCATCCACAACGACCTTTTGGGGAGGCGTGCAAGGGTTTGTGTCCGGGTCTTCCAAGTTCTCATTTTTGTAGTAGTAGCCCCTGAGGTTTTTTACAGGCAGCAGATCATAAATCTGAAAATGACGAAATTCTGGTTCAGTACAGGTCGCTTTCAACTTACGGCCAACATTTCTGTCGCTAAACAAGACAGTCCTTCGGTGAACTTGCCCCGTTTCGTGATTTGTCTTGCCACGGTTGGTCGTTAAACGAGTCACTGCAGTTGTTCAGTCAGTGACACGGTTGTGAAGGGGATCTGCTTTCCGCATTAACTTTGCTAGTCCGGAAGGTCAATTCTGGGGAATTCTGGGAGTTGAAGTCCACATGTCTTATGACTAAGGAGGTGGAGAAGCACCGGTGGGAAAACTAAAGGGAACCGACTGAAGGGAACCAACGTCATTGGTTCCCACAAATCCCTAGAAGGGACCAGTGTCAGTCATCAAGGACTGGGCCTCGGTGCCAGTTTTGGATTTTGCAACATGAAATGCTTCTTCCCCTAGTCTAGGGGTAGGCCACCTTGGCTCTTTTATGACTCGTGGACTTCAACTCCCAGAATTCCTGAGCCAGCCATGTTGAGGGGAAAGGGAGAGGTTTCCAAGCTGAGTCAGGCTGGCTCAGGAATTCTGGGAGTTGAAGTCCACGAGTCATAAAAGGGCCAAGGTTGCCTATCCCTGCCCTAGTTACTTGTGCACACAAAAGAATTGCCAAAGTGCCAAAGTTACAACCAAACCTGCAATCCCAGAAGTCATCTTCCTTCCTTCCTTCCTTCCTTCCTTCCTTCCTTCCTTCCTTCCTTCCTTCCTTCCTTCCTTCCTACCTACCTACCTACCTTTCTTTCTTCCTTTCTTCCTTCCTTCCTTCCTTCCTTCCTCCCTCCCTTCCTTCCTTCCTTCCTT